AGTATCTAGCGAGATTCTATTGTATGTAGTAGATAAGTGTTTTAAAACAATGTAAGAAACTTTTATTCCTGGGAAAGTTAAACTCCACTTCTCATCACTTTTCAGAATTGACGTCAATGTTGTCTTTTTGTATTCAGCCAATCAATTACTGACAACTCAGCTTTTTTGATACTCTGTGCCCCCCACTCTTTCTTTTTTTCTGTTATATTAATTCTCTTCCCGCTAATAAACTTGAGAGATTGATTTCAACTATCACTGTGTGTATGTCTTGTTGTCTTTTCTGAGATGAAGTCAATCTCCCCGACGCGTCGTACCCTCAGCAGCCTGATAAAGACTGATAGCCAGGGGCTATCGACAACCTTTCAGTATCCACCGTCAATGCAAACGAAACAAATAGCCTCCTGGCTCTCTCAGGTATACAGCCCCCTTGCTGCTCTGGCTCCCACCTCTCCTAGGTGGAGCCCTCCTGACTCCTGGGCAATGACTTCCTGTCTGTCGGGGGGTGGAGCCCAGAACCATGGTTTGGCCTCTACAAAAAGGCCTGCACACACCTGTACAATTAGTGTGCTGGGGTTCTGAAAACACGGACCCAGGATTGGAAATTTCATCCTGCCCAAATCACTCCGAAATCTCTAGGCCCCAGGTCCCAAAATGGCTTTACAAATCAACAAAGAAACTAAAAACCAGTTTCCCCTGCATGACGCAAACAGCCTGGAGCCCCTCAACCTGTATAGCTGAGAAACCCTGAGTTATAACCTCGATTTAGACCGTGGCAGGATGCCAGATACCGCACTGCCACAACCTATAAAATGTAATGTCTATAAATTCAACCTCTCGTATTCCCGGACTGACTGTTCTCGGGGGACAACCTCGGGGGGACAACCTCAGGGGACAACCTCTCGTAGTCCCGAGTGTTTTCGGGGGGAACAACCTCAGGGGACAACCTCAGGGGCAACCTCAGGGGACAACCTCTCGTAGTCCCAACTGACTGTTCTCGGGGAACAACTCAGGGGACAACCTCAGGGGACAACCTCTCGTAGTCCCCGACTGACTGTTCTCGGGGAACAACCTCAGGGGACAACCTCAGGGGACAAACCTCTCGTAGTCCCGAGTGTTCTCGGGGGAACAACCTCGGGGAGGACAACCTCGGGGGCAACCTCAGGGGACAACCTCTCGTAGTCCCCGACTGACTGTTCTCGGGAAACAACCTCAGAGGACAACCTCAGGGGACAACCTCTCGTAGTCCCGACTGACTGTTCTCGGGGAACAACCTCGGGGGAGAACCTCAGGGGACAACCTCTCGTAGTCCCGACTGACTGTTCTCAGGGAACAACCTCAGGGACAACCTCAGGGGACAACCTCTCGTAGTCCTGACTGACTGTTCTCGGGGGAAAACCTCGGGGGGACAACCTCAGGGGACAACCTCTTGTAGTCCCGATTGACTGTTCTCGGGGGGGGACAACATATTTGGACGGGTAAGAAACCTTGATTTAGCCTCAAAAATTGAACTGAGAAAAAGAGGCCAGTCCAGTGTCTGGGTGGGAGTCTGCCAAACCAAGAATTCTGTCTTGTCCAGCAGTATCGATCCCTGATGAGGAGAACCCTTTAGAACCCTGTGGATCCCTGGACAGGCGAGTGCTTCTTTTTCAACACAACAAACACTTTTGTCCTGCGCTAGGAATGGACTCAGTTGTTCTGTTAGTCCATCCTGCTCAATGCTCACAGACACTGTAGTTAGTAGGAGACATTTTTATTAGGTGCTCCTAGCTGCCATTATACATGTGTCTGCCCTAGAACTACAACCAAAGAGAGGCAATAACACAGTTGTACCAGTATGTAAGTAGTGAGACCCCTAGAGGCCATACACAGCATATAACATATTGCTACATCAGTAGACCCAATAGGGATGTTCTGGAATATTCTGGAATAGGCACTGCTTGCTGCCCTCTACAGACCGGGGTGGTCCAAAAACAACTAGATGCAAATGGAGAAACAAAAAAAAAAAAGTGCCCCTTTTTAAAAGGTCATCAGATGCAGTATTTGTAGTTACTGAAGTTTTTATTTTTTTCTTAAGACTAAAGATCTTCCTTAAGGTTCAGTGCCTACAGAGATGAATAACTTGCTATGGGCATCAAAAGATGTATGCTGGTGCATGGGGTCCATACTACGAGGAACGACCGGTCCATACCCCGCATTCACTATAATCCGCTCCCCCCGGATCCCCCCGCATTCACTATATCCGCTCCTCCCGGTTCCCGTGACCCCGCATTCCCTATATCCTCTCTCCCCGGACCCCGCATTCACTATATCCGCTCTCCCCGGACCCCGCATTCACTATATCCTCTCTCCCCGGACCCCGCATTCACTATATCCGCTCTCCCCGGACCCGCATTCACTATATCCTCTCTCCCCGGACCCCGCATTCCCTATATCCGCTCTCCCCGGACCCCTGCATTCCCTATATCCGCTCTCTCCCGGACCCCGCATTACCCTATATCCGCTCTCCCCGGACCCCGCATTCACTATATCCGCTCTCCCCGGACCCCGCATTCACTATATCCGCTCTCTCCCCGGACCCCGCATTCACTATATCCGCTCTCACCCCCGGACCCGCATTCACTATAATCCGCTCTCCCCGGACCCCGCATTCACTATATCCTCTCTCCCGGACCCCGCATTCCCTATATCCGCTCTCCCCGGAACCCGCAATTCCCTATATCCGGTCTCCCCGGACCCCGCATTCCCTATATCCGCTCTCCCCGGGACCCCGCATTCACTATATCCGCTCTCCCCGGACCCAGCATTCACTATATCGCCCGCTCTCCCCCGACCCCGCATTCACTATATCCGCTCTCCCCGGACCCCGCATTCACTGTATCCGCTCTCTCCCCGGACCCACATTCACTATATCCCAGTGGTTCTCAACTCTTTCAACCTTCCTAATGCCGCGGCCCCTTAATACAGTTCCTCATGTTGTGGTGACCCCCAACCATAAAATTATTTTCGTTGCTACTTCATAACTGTAATTTTGCAGTGGGGGGAATAGTGCCCCATCATTGGTGTCAGTGGAAGTAATAGTGCCCCATCATTGTTGTCAGTGGGGGGAATAGTGCCCCATCACTGGTGTCAGTGGGAGGAATAGTGCCCCATCATTGGTGTCAGTGGGGGGAGGAATAGTGCCCCATCATTGGTGTCAGTGGGGGGAGGATAGTGCCCCATCATTGGTGTCAGTGGGGGGAGGAATAGTGCCCCATCATTGGTGTCAGTGGGGGGAGGAATAGTGCCCCATCATTGGTGTCAGTGGGGGGAGGAATAGTGCCCCATCATTGGTGTCAGTGGGGCGAGGAATCGTGCCCCATCATTGGTGTCAGTGGGGGGAGGAATCGTGCCCCATCATTGGTGTCAGTGGAGGGAGGAATCGTGCCCCATCGTTGGTGTCATTTGGGGGAGGAATCGTGCCTCATCGTTGGTGTCAGTGGGAGGAATAGTGCCCCATCATTGGTATTAGTGACACCAATGATTGGGCACTATTCCTCCCACTGACACCAATGATACTTACCTTGCTGACCCCTGCTCCAGCCTGGGCTCGCTCGCTCGCTCCCTCTCCCGTGGTACAGACACTTACCGGTCAGCTGTCTGCCTTCTCCGGCCGCTCGCCTCCTCTTCACTCGCTCGATCTTCGCGGTGCCGCTCGGCTCCTCCTCTCCAAGCTCTACCTCCTCGCCAGTGATTGGCCACCTGTGTGCCTCTCCTGAGCTACAGTTCCGGCGGCCAATCACCGACAAGGATGATCCCGGGGGTGTGGCCAGATGACAGGGGGTGGCATGTCATCCCGCCCACACCTGGAGACAGATAGAGGAGCGGTGTCTCGGTTCCTAACACCATCGGAAATATGTGTTTTCCGATGGTCTTAGGCGACCCCTGTGAAAGCATCGTTCAACCCCCAAAGGGGTCGCGACCCACAGGTTGAGAAACCGCTGCTATATCCTCTCTCCCCGGACCCCGCATTCACTATATCCCCTCTCCCCGGACCCCGCATTCACTATATCCCCTCTCCCCGTACCCCGCATTCACTATATCCGCTCTCCCCGGACCCCGCATTCACTATATCCGCTCTCCCCCGTACCCCGCATTCACTATATCCGCTCTCCCCGGACCCCGCATTCACTATATCCCCTCTCCCCGGACCCCGCATTCACTATATCCGCTCTCCACGGACCCCGCATTCACTATATCCGCTCTCCACGGACCCCGCATTTCACTATATCCTCTCTCCTCCCCGGACCCCGCATTCACTATATCCGCTCTCCCCGGACCCCGCATTCACTATATCCGCTCTCCCCGGACCCCGCATTCACTATATCTCCTCTCCCCGGACCCCGCATTCACTATATCCCCTCTCCCCCGGACCCCGCATTCACTATATCCGCTCTCCCCCGGACCCCACATTCACTATATCCGCTCTCCCCTGGAGGTCCCCCGCATTCACTATATCCGCTCTCCCCGGACCCCGCATTCACTATATCCACTCTCCCCGGACCTCGCATTCACTGTATCCGCTCTCCCCTGACACTACAGGGTCCGGGGGTTTTAATAACACTTTAACTCTGAGATTCCTATCAGTGTACACCGATGGGTGATATTTGTGTTCCACATGGATGGAATGAAACCAATATGTAACTTCTTATATTACAGATGAGTCCCTCACAGTCCCCCGTATTGGGATTCCATGGACAACGCTCAGCTGAAGGTGGTACCGCTGAGCAGCAGCAGCCCGGACTACTCAGAGGTGGAAGGACTCTTTACACAGACGTGTCACATGAGAATCATGAAGGTAATACTAGAGGTTAACCTTCCTTCTGTTGAGAACCCCATCCCCTCCACATCCACATCCCCTCCACATCACATCCCCTCCACATCACATCCCCTCCACATCACATCCCCTCCCCACATCACATGTGCAAATTTCCAGGGTCTTAGATAACTTTAACCCCTTCCAGTCTGGACACTTTCCCCCCCTTCCAGTCCGGACGCTTTCCCCCCTTCCAGTTCCGGACACTTTCCCCCCCCCTTCCCAGTACGGACACTTTCACCCCCTCACCAGTACGGGACACTCTCACCCCCCTTCCAGTCCGGACTTTTCCCCCCTTCCAGTCCGGACACTTTCCCCCCCTTCCAGTCCACACACTTTCACCTCCTTCCAGCCGGACACTTTCCCCCCCCTTCAGTCTTGACACTCCACCCCCCTTCCAGTCTTGACACTCTCACCCCCCTTCCTGTCTTGACACTCTCACCCCCCTTCCAGTCTTGACACTCTCACCCCCCTTCCAGTCTTGACACTCTCACCCCCCTTCCAGTCCGGACACTTTCACCTCCTTCCAGTCCGGACACTTTCCCCCCCTTCCAGTCCGACAACTTTCAACCCCCTTCCAGTCCGGACACTTTCCCCCCTTCCCAGTCCGGACACTTTCACCCCCTTCCAGTCCTGACATTTTTCACCACCCTTCCAGTCCGGACACTTCCCCCCCCTTCCAGTCTTGACACTCTCACCCCCCTTCCAGTCTTGACACTCTCACCCCCCTTCCAGTCTTGACACTCTCACCCCCCTTCCAGTCTTGACACTCTCACCCCCCTTCCAGTCTTGACACTCTCACCCCCCTTCCAGTCCGGACACTTTCACCTCCTTCCAGTCCGGACAACTTTTCCCCCCCTTCCAGTCCGGACACTTTCCCCCCCTTCCAGTCCGGACACTTTCCCCCCCCTTCCAGTCCGGACACCCACCCACCCTTTCCAGTCCGGACACTTTCACCCCTTCCAGTCCGTGACACTTTCCCCCCCTTCCAGTCCGGACACTTTTTCCACACAGACCCCCCCCCTTTCCAGTCGGACCAGACACTTTCCCCCCTTCCAGTTCCGGACACTTTCCCCCCCTTCCAGTCCGGACACTCTCCCCCCCCCTTCCAGTCCGGACACTCCCCCCCCTTCCAGTCCGGACACTTTCCCCCCCTTCCAGTCCCGGACACTTTCCCCCCCTTCCAGTCCGGACACTTTCCCCCATTTAGTCCAGTCCGGACACTTTCCCCCCCTTCCAGTCCGAACACTGTCCCCCCCATTCCAGTCCAGGACACTTTCCCCCCCTTCCAGTCCGGACACTTTCCCCCCTTCCAGTCCGACACTTTTCCCTCCCCCCCTTCCAGTCCGGACACTCCCCCCCCCCTTCCAGTCCGGACACTTTCCCCCCTTCCAGTCCGGACACTTTTCCCCCCTTTTCCAGTCCGGACACTTTCCCCCCTTCCAGTCCGGACACTTTCCCCCCCTTCCAGTCCGGACACTTTCCCCCCTTCCCAGTCACCTGGGGACACTTTCCCCCCTTCCAGTCCGGACACTTTCATCCCCCTTCCCTGTCCACGGACACTCCCCCCCCTTCCAGTCCGGACACTCCCCCCTTTCCAGTCTGGACACTTCCCCCCCCTTCCAGTCCGGACACTTTCCCACCCCTTCCAGTCCGGACACTTTCCCCCATTTCCAGGTCCGGACACTTTTTCCCCCCTTTTTTCCAGTCCGGACACTGTCCCCCCCTTCCAGTCCGGACACTTTCCCCCCCTTCCAGTCCGGACACTTTTCCCCCCCTTCCAGTCCGGACACTTTCCCCCCCTTCCAGTCCGGACACTCCCCCCCCCCTTCCAGTCCGGACACTTTCCCCCCCTTCCAGTCCGGACACTTTCCCCCCCTTCCAGTCCGGACACTTTCCCCCCCTTCCAGTCCGGACACTTTCCCCCCCTTCCAGTCCGGACACATTCCCCCTTCCAGTCCGGACACTTTCACCCCCTTCCTGTCCGGACAACTCCCCCCCTTCCAGTCCGGACACTCCCCCCTTTCCAGTCTGGACACTTCCCCCCCCCTTCCAGTCCGGACACTTTCCCCCCCTTCCAGTCCGGACACTTTCCCCCCCTTCCAGTCCGGACACTTTCCCCCCCCTTCCAGTCCGGACACTTTCACCCCCTTCCAGTCCGGACACTTTCACCCCCTTCCTGTCCAGGCCAATTTCCAGCTTTCAGCGCTATCACACTTTGAATGACAATTGCGCGGTCATGCAACACTGTACCCATATGAATTTTTTAGCATTTTTTTGGGACAGATAAAGCTTTATTTTGGTGGTATTTATTCACCGCTGGGAGTTTTATTTATTTTTGCTATATAAATGAAAAATTTTGCAAATAAATAATATTTCATTATAAATCTTGGCCAAAATGTATTCCGTTATCTTTTTAGTAAAAAAAAAAATAACCCAAATTAGTTTATAACCAAAAATTATAATTTTCACCATTTTTTTTACATTTTTTTTTTTTTTTATTTTTTTTTTTTTTTATGTTTTATTTATTTTTTTTTACATACTGGCACCCTAGCAGTGTGGGGTCACCATGGTGACACTGTACTACTTGTTGGGGGTGATGAAGATTTTTTTTTTTTTTTTTTTTTTTTTTTTACACTGAATGCTTTTACACCCATAAAGGCTGTAAAAGCAATAATTTCTCCTTCTCTCTGGCTGCATTCTTGCAGCCATTGAGAACTACTGTGTGAGCTGTGATTGGTCACAGCTTGTCACATGGTACAAGGCTGTTGTGAATGGCCCTGTGCCATGTGACCTCTGTGAACCTCTGTGAACATTCACAGATTTCACAAGTAGTAAGCAATGATGTCAGAAGTAACATCTTGCTTACTACTCTGCATGTGATCACAGAGGTCCGGTCCGATGATCGGTGTTCCGCTGGGTCCTTCGGACACAGTGGGCACCTGATCGCGGCACCTGATCGCGGTGCTGCGTGCTCCCAGGAAGCACGCACAAGCAGGGTGTGGGGAGGTTGTTTTTATTTACAGTGGCCGGACAAGAAGGGGTTAATACACATTTCCTCCTGTGTTCTTCAAGTAGACATGGAGACGACATCTACTGAGAAGTGAAAGATGAAAGAACAACAAAAGTAAAGATGGAAGCTAATTCTTGTACACAAGTCACTACTGGTAGCATGAGGCCATACCTGGACCCTACAGAGGTTGCACAGGCAGTCCATCTCCTCCAGGATGGCACATCAATACGTACCATTGCCAGAAGGTTTGCTGTGTCTCCCAGCACAGTCTCAAGAGCATGGAGGAGGTTCCAGGAGACAAGAGCATGGAGGAGATCCAGGAGACAGGCAGTTCCTCTAGGAGAGCTGGACAGGGCCGTAGAAGGTCCTTGACCCATCAGCAGGACCAGTGTCTGCTCCTTTGTGCAAGGAGGAACAGGATGAGCCCTGCCAGAGCCCTACAAAATGACCTCCAGCAGGCCACTGGTGGTAATGTCTCTGACCAAACAATCAGAAACAGACTTCATGAGGGTGGCCTGAGGGCCCAACGTCCTCTAGTGGGCCCTGTGCTCACTGCCCGGCACCAAATAGCTGGATTGGCATTTGCCATTGAACCCCAGAATTGTCAGGTCCACCACTGGCGCCCTGTGCTTTTCACAGATGAGAGCAGGTTCCCCCTGAGCACATGTGACAGATGTGAAAGGGTCTGGAGAAGCCGTGGAGAATGTTATGCTGCCTGTAACATGGTTCAGCAAGACTGTTTTGGTGGTGGGTCAGTGATGGTCTGGGGAGGCATCTCCATGGAGGGACGCACAGACCTCTACAGGCTAGACAATGGCACCCTGACTGCCATTAGGTATCAAGATGAAATTCTTGGACCGATTCTCAGACCCTACGCTGGTGCAGTGGGTCCTGAGTTCCTCCTGGTGCAGTGGGTCCTGGGTTCCTCCTGGTGCAGTGGGTCCTGGGTTCCTCCTGATGCACGACAATGCCCGGCCTCATGTGGGAGGAGAGTATACAGGCAGTTCCTGGAGGATGAAGGAATTGATGCCATTGAATGGCCCCCACGCTCGCCTGACCTAAATCCAATAGAACTACTCTGGGATGTCATGTTTTGGTCCATACCACCAGGTTGCACCTCAGACTGTCCAGGAGCTCAGTGATGCCCTGGTCCAGATCTGGGAGAAAATTCCCCAGAACACCATCCGTGGTCTCATTAGGAGCCTCCCCGGATGTTGTCAGGCATGCATACAAGCACGTGGGGGCCACACAAACTACTGAGGACCATTCTGAGTTGCTGTTCTGGCCCACCCCCTTCCACTTCCGAAGCCTTGCTATTGGTCAGAGAGGCTGCCATGACACTACAGGTCCAATAGGCACAATGGATGGAAGTAAAAAAGTGTTCTAAGCTGATTTTGGTGTTCACAGTCTCCCAGGATTTGGGGGCCCCAGAATACTATCAAGGAATGAACAAGCTATACTTGTTATCTTTTAAATGGACTTTCGATGAAAATGAAATGGTCTACAGGTCCGCCTGGTGGAACCCTGTCCCTGAATACTCCCTAGGGAGGATGTCCACTGGGAGAGAGAAGACCTCTGGATAGGGGTTGTCCCAACCTATATACCGGGTGGGAACCGCAGAATGAATATCGCTGTGATATGTTAAGGACTTTTGCCCTTTTTGGGATCTAGGGGTGCTTTCATTCCAGTCCCCTAGGGGTTGCAGCACGTTCAACTGCAAGCCAGCAGTGGGAGAGGATCATTACAAAAGATGTGCTGGATAGAAAAATTCATTTCATATTCATGCAATAAGGTCATAATTTCGATTTGTCATATTTATTATGTTAGAATGATTTGTTTTTGGAATTTGGTTCACAAATTCGGATTCATTTTGAATATTCATTATTTCCAAATGGATTCGAAATTCAAATTCGAAATTTGAAATGAGAAATTTTTGAATTTTGAAATTTGAATTTCAGAAGATGACTATATTCATTCTATTTTATCATATTCTAATCTATTTTTTTTACTATTCTATTCCTTTCATTTCTATTCTATTCTGTTTTATTCTATTCTATTTTATTCTTTTTTTTTTTCTGTTCTATAAAGCAGCCTAAGTAAGAATCATGATCTTATTTCACTTATAAACCTTACTGTATTTATTACAATATGTTTCCATTTGAAGTTCAAATTTGTTTCTGAATTTGAATTAATTTTTGTAACGGAACCGACCTTGGTCTACACTTGGGTACTTCTGTTTGGATACTGCTTCCCCATCCAAACACCGACCACTGACACCACAGCAGACCATACAAGACTAGATGACACCAGTCTTGAAGATCAACCAGGAAGTAGACTAGTTTATTTTTAACACAGATACAAGATATATACACTCAGGGGAACAACCCCCCCCCCCTGCAAAATGACACAGGGCGGGGAAATCTATATTTAGTAACAAGAGACACACCAACAGACAGTCCCATCAGGAGGGGGGGCTG